AATTAAATTAAATCTATTTTATATCTAAGTCTGTTAGTAGATAAATTTATAGGTGGATCTATTTTATAAAATAATGATAATATATTATTATTATTATTATTATTTTATTAATATATATTATAAATTATTTTAATAAGAATTTCCATTTATTTTAAAAATAAATATAGAGTAAATATATAATCTACTTATTCCACTTTTTAATTATTAGATGAATTATTATTTTAAATCATTAAGTTACTAGACAATACTAAAAAAAACAATTAACTCTTATTTTGGGTTAAATATTTTTTTTATAATTTATATATTAAATTATTAGATTTAAAATAAAAAATAATTTTATTAGTATACTTTAAATTTTGAAAATATATTTTTATTTAAATATTTTTAATTATTTTTTTATATAGACACATTTTTTTTTAATTTTTAATTTTCAGACTTATTAGACAATTACCTAATATAAGATCTGACTAAAAAATATTATAATTCGTTTAAATATATAAATTAGATTACAAAAATTATAATTCACTTAATATAAATTAGGTTAAATCATTGTAATTTTTTTATTTGAGGTATAAGTTAAGGTCAAATTAAACTCAACAGCAGGTTTTAAAACACGACTGGATAGCAAGGAGAATTGCACATAGTATCTAAGTGATGATTCAAATTTATATTTTGGAGATAAATATGGATTTTATTGTTAAATTGAATTTATGATGATTTATGCATTGTTCTAGTATTTTACATATAAACAAAATTTGTGCACAAAATAGATTAAAGATTCATATATAATAAATCATCGTTATTATCAAATAGAAATTATCCAAAGGAGAAAATGTTTAAAATTGAGGAAATAATTATTAGATAAAGAGTTTGAATCAAGACATGTTAATTAACTTATTGACATGGTGTTTGAAAATTTTAAAAATTAAAATTAATCAATAACATTTAAAAGAAATAAAAACTACATATAAAAACAATTATTCAATGTAAAAGAAATTAGTCAACTTATTAAATAAATATATAAAAATATTTTTTATTTACTAATAAAAACTTAAACTTGTAATATATAAGCAAATTTGATAGATATTCTTTAATAAGTTATTTTGGAATGACACAACTTTCACTAATGTTGTGTTGTTTCGAGTAAAATTATTTTATTTCTTAAATGTTTTTGGCTTTAATTAGTATAATTAATAATTTTATTACCATGAGAATTTTCATTTTTTCATAAATTGACCATTGATAATATATAATTTTTTATTTAAAATTCTTAGTTCTTTACGAATTATTTTTTTAATAGAAAACTTCAAACTTACGATGTATTTCACTTATATTATATGTACTTTATAAAATAATAAGATATATTTATAAAAGAATATTACTTAATAAGATGAAGGAGACAAGTTCCACTTGCCTTAAATTATTTTTGAGAAAAAAAAAACATAAATAATCTTTAGATGCAATGAATACAAATGAGTGATTGAAACTATAAATAGCAAGGTGGGTAACAATGTTAGAGGATGAAGGAAGTGTGTGAAAGAGACATTGAGCAGAAAAGAAAAAGCAAAGAAGAAACTTAAAAGAAGAGAAGAACTCAGTAAGATTTTCTCCTCTCCATTATAATTTGTGCTTGTTACAAAAGAATATAAATATAATACTTTTATATGTTTTAGATATATTATTATTTTTAATATGATATAAGAGTCTATTATTTATTAGATTTTAAATATATATCATTGATATTTTGAGGGATGTATCAAATCTTCCTCGGAAGGTGACCCTAAACTTTTATAACTCTTATTTAATTTATGATTTTAGTATTTTTAAATTTAATAATTCTTTAATATATTTACTTATATATTTATAATTTTATCTTTTAATCTTTTTTTATTTTTTTATATTTATTTATTATTTATTAATATTATTTGACCTCTAAAATCAATAATTAAGATGAATGTATCGTAAATTTCTCGTTAAATAGATATATAATTTAACATATAATATATAATTAAAATGTAAAATTAATTTAAAACCTGATTAAATTAACTTCTACAATGTAATAACAGCCTATTACAAAAAAAATTTAAAGAATTTTTGTTTTCTTTTAATCACATTTTATTCATCCATAAAACTTTAACAATAGTAATAAATAGACAATTTCTCTTTGCACTTGATTACCTTCTAAAAGAAGAAGTTATGTGTGAGATTTTTCTTCCTTTTAATCACATTTCTTATTCTTTTTCCAAATGCCTATTTTTAGACCAAAGTTGAAATAAAAACAGAGACGTAAGAAATTGAAGTATTGAACCCCACCATACCCATAATAGGACCCCTTTGAGATGGTTTAAAGACAATATAATTAAATTAGTTGGGTTATGCTTTATCAATAATGAATAGACAATATAAGTTTTTTTTTATGAGAGAAATTATTTTTTTTAAAATGATAATATTAATACGACAATATAAATGTTTTGTGTAATTAAAGTTTTTCTTCTATTCATACAAAATCATTGCAATATGGACTCAATTTCGAACTACAAAATTTTTCGTTGTCATCTTGTGGCTTTAGAAAGAGTGAAGGGACAATTATTTTAAAAGATGATAATAGTTTATGATTTTCATAAGTTGTGGATTATTTAAGAAAATTTTTTATATTTAAAATTACACCTTTAATATTGTATCATGATATAAATACCTTTAAGAATTACCAAGTACCAGAAAATTAGTGTTACTTTGTTTTCTATGTGCTGGAGAAAACAAAAACACTTAGAAACCATTGTTTGGAAGCTCTTCCTATGGCTTAATTCTCAAATCAAATATATAATATTATATGTGATGAAAAAAAGAGAAGAAAAAGAAAAAGAAAAAGAAGAAGAGTAATTTGGGTGTAAAATTTTAAATGTAAAAAAAAAAACTTTAATTTTCATTTACCATGTTATTACTAACTATTAATAATATAATTAAAATCATGAATACAATAAATTCTCATCTCTCATAAATGAACTAAATTTCGGTAGAGTTTGGTCAAAACACAAAGTCTAAAACCATTCCTAATTCATGTTAGGTTAAACCCTAAATAATTTTTATGCAAAACTAATTGTAGGCATAAAGTGCATCAATGGTTTGGCAAGTTGCTTTCAACAAAATCAAGTATGGAGAAAAATTCATTTTGGAAGAACTAAATATATATATATATATATATATATATATATATATATATATATATATATATATATATATTTTTTTTTCTAAGCATTTTTTTCAAAAAACATAACTATATTTGGATTTTAAACAGATTCTATATTTTACTATTAGACAAAATTGATTATTTGGCCTCTCTGTTACAAGTTATCAATCATAAATCAATTATTTCAATCACGGTATGTTTAAAATCATTTTTCTAATATTTAAAAGATATTTGATGAGTTTTCACGTATATATTTTTTTTAATATAGAAGGTATTCGAATTATTGCCCAAAAAATAAATTATATATTAATTAATTTGTATACATTTTCTTATTTAGTTTTTCTTAATTTTTATTTTCAATTATAAAAAACAATTATATATTCGGAAACACTGAGGCATGTGAGTGCTTACATATTTTTATTATGCTTATTTATTTTAATTTATTAAAATTTAATATATATATATATATATATATATATATATATATGTAGACATTTTAAAATTAGGAATTATTGAAAATAAATATAAGTTAAAGATAGTTTAAAATAGAAAGAAAAACAGAAAACGTAAGTAGGAGAGGAAGAAAAAAAGTAATATTTGTTTATTATTTTGTATTTGAAAAAATAGATTAAGTGAAACATAGGAAGAAAAGAAGGAGATGAATGTTTTATAAATTGTTAATTAAATATTATTTATTGTAGAAAGTTCCAAGTAATGGAGCATTGATTCCCATATTTGGAATTCCAGTAAGAAACAAATAAACCTACCTACGACTTGCCATTGTTAATTCTGTGCGATCCAACTCCTCATCTGTCATTTTCTTTCTGCTCTCTCATCAATCAACCAAATCGAAAGTTCAGTTTAGGTTTTCAATTCTTATTTATATTATATCATTAAAATAGTAAATAACCTTAATTATTACTTTAAATAAAAAAACAATGATGAGATTAAAAAATAAATTTTAACTATTATTTTTATTATAAATAATAATATTATATCAATACAAAAGTCAAACTCAATGTGTTAATTCTTGATATATGACAAATTTGTAGTTAAATTTCAGAATATTTGCAGTTAAAGTAACAAGGGTTATTAAAAGGGAAGTTGAGAGAGCAAATTGTATTTTGTATTCTTCTTCTGGGATAGTGCGCAATTTTGATGATAAAATATGTGTATCTCCATTCTTACGCTATGAGCACTTAACCACCCACTAAAAGCCACCGTGTCCCTTTAAAACCCAACCTTCACATTCTGAAAGCCCAAAATCTGAGCCTCAGGTAATCAAGATTTTGTCTTTCAACACATCTCTTGCATTTTCCATTCTTCTTTCTTCCTTCCTCATCATGCACATGCAAGTGTTCTATGCTTTTAACATGAATGCACCATAGTCAGTTCTTGAGACTTTTTGAGTAATTATGAATATTTACTAGTTCAATTAATATTATTATAACCAAGTTCAATATTATATTTTCTCTCTTCATGTTTATTTATAAAATATTGGTTATAGTGAAAGATTTTATATCCGTTAACAATATCAAATATACAATTTTATCTCACATTTTTATTATGATTGAGTTATGTCTAAACCTACTTCCTAGTCTAACTTAAAATAGTTATAGATTATCATTCAAAAATTAATTCTTATTTAGAACAACTTAAAATTAGTTAATTATTTACAATAAATCATTTAGATATTAATTATTTGAAACTGGTTTTACATTTCAGGATTGCTTGGTTTGTAATATACTGTTGAGCAAGAGAAAAGAAAAGAAGACACAAAGATGGAGTTTTGGAAGCTTTTTTTGTTGCATTAATGCCGGTTCTGAAAGTGTTGTTAATTACTGTTTTGGGAACAATCCTTGCAGTTAATCGCTTTAACATTCTAGGAGAAACGGCCAGGAAAAATCTCAACAATGTAAGTTTAATAATTTTTTTATCATCTTTCAACCTCTTATCCAATACGAATTTGTTCATATTCTTTTATCTGATACAATTTTGTTTCTATCCTTCTGAATTAAAAAAAAAAATATAAATTATTCTTAACTTTTAACTCTTAATTAATATAAGAGTAATGTATTAAAATGATTTTTTTTCCATTTATTTTATCTTAAATATTTTTAATTTATTCAAAAGCTACAGTTTTATCAATTCTTGATTGATTTTAATTCATATGTTTAATATATATATATATATATATATATATATATATATATATATATATATATATATATATATATATATATATATATATATATATATATATATATATATATATATATATATATATATATATATATATATATATATATATATATATATATACATATATATGTGTGTGTGTGTGTGTGTTTGGTTTCAGTGTTTTTTATGACAAATAATTTAGAATGTGATATGATTTTTTTTACCGTATAAACATACAGATGGTATATTTTGTGTTCTCTCCAACTCTAGTTTGTAGCAGTCTGGCTCAAACAGTAACTTTAAGGAGTGTGCTTATATTGTAAGTTTGTTCTTACTGCTTCTGCTTCTGCATTTTCTTATCAAACAAATTCAATATATGTGTAGATGAATTACCAAAAATGGTTTGGCAAATTTTTGTAGGTGGTTCATGCCTCTCAATATTCTTCTCACATTTGTTCTTGGAACAGTTCTTGGATTGTTAGTTGTTAAACTAACAAGAGTTCCTCGTCATCTTCATGGCCTTGTCATAGGGGCTTGTGCAACAGGTACATAATTCTTCGTGGTGATTTTTTATTACACCCATTTATTTATGGAATTTTTTTAGTTTTAAATAAATAAATTTAACATATTTATTGATTTAGGATTTGAATGTTTGATGTTGGCAGGAAATCTGGGAAATCTGCCCATAATTATAGTTCCAGCAGTCTGTAAACAAAGTGGCAGTCCTTTTGGAGAAGTGAATGTTTGCTACAAAAATGCATTAGCATATGCTTCTCTATCAATGGCAGTATGAAACTAACTTCAAACGTTTGGAAATATTATAAGAATTCAAAAGCAAAATATACTGTCATATAAATAATTTGTAAATTATTAGTTATATAATTGAAATATGAAATATGTAATGAAACTCTAAGTAAAGAAATATATAATTCATGTACTCTATTCGGGAGAATCTAAGTAAATATCTAATAACATTGACTACGAGATTTTCAACTAAAATAATTTTCAAACTATAAGGATTAAAATGATCATAGTTCTTTAACTTTAACTGTGTTTTTTTCTCAGTTAGGATCAGTTTACATTTGGTCTTTTGCGTACAACCTTGTTCGATTATATGCACCAAAGATTTCCAACGAAGCCAAAATTGATGAAAATTCCATGGTAAATCCAATCTCCATCACAAAAACTGATCCAGAAAACCCTTCAACATGTTCCACATGTGCTACTGATGATGAATCACACACTCAAGATCATCTGAAGAACTTTGAAATCCAGTGTACAAGGTGTGATGGTAAAGCAGAGGAGGTATATAATACATCTGTTCCAATATATATGCACTGTGTTAACCTCTCTGTATAAGATTACAAATTATTCGGTCCCGAAGCCTTTTTTTTTTTATTTCAATTAAATCGGTCAGTTTAATTAGTATAATTGAAAATCAATCCAAAATTAATTTATTATTTATAAATAATTATATTTTAGTTAAATCGAGACAAAATTAATAAAATAATTTTTTTATCAATCCAATTTTAATAATAAAAAAATTAATATAATATTTTACATTAATTACATCACTTTTAAATAATAAAATTTATTATATTATTTTATTTTAATAATTATCTATCTTATATCTTTTTAATGTTTTATATTTATAATTTTAATAAATATAATAATAACCTTTATTATTTAGAAAAGAAAATCTTATTATTATTATTATACTTTATATATTATAAAAATATTATTTTATTAAAACCGATTATCTTCATTTGAGAAGTCAATAAGATTTGACAATAGTTATGATAATTTGCAGCCAACAAAAATGGAAATGGTTATGAAACACCTGAAAACATTGGTCCAAAAAATCAACCTGAAGATACTATTCACACCCTCCACAATTGCAGCTGTAAGTAGTATATTATTTTATAGTCTTTCTATTATTTTCATTCAATTCATTGCATGTATATTAACTTCTGATCTTAAACTTGTACCATATAAATTGTATACTGAAACTCTAATCTTGGGTAAAGAATGATGCTGAAAATACCTAAGAGATTAGATCTCATGATACTTTATTCGCCTTCTTTGCATGCAGTTGGTGGGTTTAGTAATTGGGGTAGTCCCTCAATTTCGAATACTATTGATTGGAGATGATGCTCCTCTCCATGTGGTTGATGATTCTGTGATGATGGTGGGGTACGTGTCACTAATTAAAACCACATTTTATTGGTTATGAAATGAAACTCAGATGAAGGTTCTTTCATTTTCCCTGATCTGCAGATATGCATGCATTCCAGTAATGACTCTGTTGGTTGGAGCAAACCTGATCAAAAGTAAATAAATACAATGAAATTCTCAAATTTATGAATGATTTGGATAGAACTGAACTGATGAATGTGATGCTGAAACTTGATGAACATGTTGTTCAGGTTTGAGTGGACTAGGAAAGCAACTTCCACTCATTGTTGGTATTGCTGTGGTTAGATGCATTGTTTTGCCAGCAATTGGTGTAGGCATAGTGAAAGGTGCTGTTCATTTGGGTTTGATCCACCCTGATCCATTGTATGAGTTTCTTCTGCTGCTTCAATTTGCAGTTCCTCCTGCAGTATCACTCAGTAAGTTCTTCATCATTTGTGGCAATTATTGCTCTAGAGTTTAGTCTAAGATTATTTTATGAATGTGTACCAGGTACAATCACTCAGTTATTTGCAGCTGGTGAGAGTGAATGCTCAGTTATCATGTTTGCAACTTATTCTTGCGCTGCAGTTTCAGTGACACTTTGGTGCACATTTTATATGTGGCTTGTACTATAGTTATTTTTTTTAGTGTAAGATATGATGTGCTTTGACCCTTCAAAAATGGGTCACCATAAAGAAAATGTCTTAGTTAGTGTCCTAAGGTTATTGCTTCAAAAATTAAAAGGGGAAGTTATTGAAAGTTGTATGAAACTTCATTAAAAAAGAGTAGAAAATATAATTTTATTATAAAAATCTTTTAATTTCTTAACCAATCTCTTGGAACACTAATTAAAATTTACCAACACTCCATGTAATATGTGAAACTATACAAAGTTACCTAAGTTTGAAGTTGTTTAAGGTAAATCAATCACATTTGTTCCAATTGACAAGGTTTGTTTAGAAAAAAATTGTTCATAAACTTTTCTAAAAGGAAAAAAAATTGAAATTAATTTATAATAAATTAATTTGTAAAAGTTATTTTTTATTAATTTTTATAAACATGGTCATACATAAATTAAATTTTTTTCCTAAAAAATTTTATGAAAAGGATTTCTTCAAAGTTGCCCTTGAAGTTTAGGCTACATAGTTGTTTGTATAAAAAAACACAATGGCGAAAGGAAAAATAAAAAATAAAAGCAAATATTACTATTGGACCTAGTCGCATGACCATGTATTGACATATTTACTAAGTCAATCTAGGTTTATGATCTTGTATTGACACATTTTATCACCTCATATTTATTTAACAAAATAATATTGTATGTTTTAGATTCATTTTTTTAAAAACTTTTTAAAATGAGTTTCTAAATTTAGCTTTTCATATTAATATTTCAAGAATAGTAAAATTATATTTCGAAATTTTAAAATAAATATATCCAAATCCATTTTTCCAATTTTATTTTTAGATTTGTTGATCTGAAATACTCCTGATAAACTAATAAGGGTGTTATTGTCTTTTTCAAACAAATGTGGGGTGCTGAGAGAAAGTATGAAATACACGAAGATATATATATATATATATATATATATATATATATATATATATATATATATATATATATATATATATATATATATATATATATATATATATATATATATATATATATATACCTTTCGAATAAAACGAAATAAAACAAGGTGCTTCTTCTTGTTTCCCAAAAATTTCTTCCTGCACCCCCGTGACATGAGAAAAAATGTGCTTATGATCTTTTGTGTTTGAAATCCTACTCTAAGTCACAAGTCACAATTATCTCTTTTGTGCCCCCACACCTCCATAGTATTGCACCTCCTTTGTTTATTGCACCTACGAAACCTCCATTCAGTATCATTTTCCCTCTACGGTTAAAAATTTATTGATTATTTATGTTTTGAATCGAATTATATGATATGCATCCAAAACTACTTTGAAAAAAGTGCATCTATTTCATATAGAGGTGTTCTATATTGTTAAATTTGGAATACATTTCTAAATACAAAAAAATTCAAAAATGAGTTTCTAATAGACTAATCCGGAATACATTTTTTAGGAAATACTTTGTAGAAATGTATTTTAGATTAGTCTATCCAAAATTTATTTTTAGATTGAGTTTTATGGAAATATATTCCAAATTCAACAATTTAGAACACATTTATGGAAAACACAATCTGAAAATGTATTTTGAATTATTAGACTATCTAGAACTCATTTTTTTATTGTGTATTTTGGAAGTGTATTTCGGATTCAACAATTTGGAACACATTTTTTTGGAAAATACAATCTAAAAATGTATTCTGGATTAGGCTATCCAAAACTCTTTTATGAAAAAATACAATCAATAAATAAGTTCCAGATAACCTAATCAAGAATAAATCTAAAAAAATCATGGGGAACTACCTCTATAAGATGTAAGGCTCATGGAGAGTCAAGCGGTGTTAATGAGTATGGATATAATGTGGAAGAAAATGTTGTAGATGAGAAATATCAACAACCTCAAGAAGATAATCACTACAAGAAAAATGACATTTAGCCACCAAAATTAGCGACCGAATTTTTTCGGTCGCAAATAGCGACCGATTTAGCGACCAATTTAATTTTGGTCGCAAATAGCAACCGATTTAGCAACCACTTTAATTCGGTCGCAATTAGCGATCGATTCAGTGACTCACTTTAATTCGGTCGCAATTAGCTGATCGATTTAGCGACCAAAATATGAATTGGTTTTCATTTTGTTATTTAGCTGATCGAAATAGCGACCAATAATTTGCGTCACAAAATTTCGGTCGCTAAATCGATGGCTATTCCACACTAAAATAAAAAAATCATTTAGCGATCGATTTAGCGACCGAATTACAAATTGAAATAGTGACCGAATTATAATCGGTCGCTAATGAGAAAATAGCGACCAAAATGAAATCGGTCACTAATGAATATTATATTTTTATTATATTTAACTTTTTTTTATAAATATACTTTAATTGTTTTAGTATATTTTTTACAATTTATTTTTTAAAAGTAATTTAGTTTTTAAAAATAATTTAATTTTTAAAATATACTTTAAAAATAAACTTTGGTCTCAATATTAACAAAATGATTTGTAATAAATCAAATTTATTAAAAATTTAAATTGTAATAAATTAAGACTAGAGTGATGTTAACTATTCAATACATTGTTTAAGAAAAGTTTAATAACAAATATTCTTGAATTTATTTTTCAATTGAAAATTTCAATTGAAATTAATTTATATTTTAAAAATTTATATTAAAAAAATGAAGAAAATAGAGATTTAATTATACTTTTAATAAATTTAACATAATAATAGTTTTGATTTTTATTTTTAAATATTTATTTTAATTTTTTAAAATAGAGAAACTATAATTTTAGTTTCTAAATACTAAATTTAAAGAGTTAAATTTATTATTATTTAATCTTTTAATTTTAGTATTAAAAATTTAAATTATATTTTAATACCTTGAGAATGAAAAATATAATTAAACTAAAACTGAAAATATTATAATACATTTTTGAACTCTTTTTGATTAATTTTTTTTCCTAATTTTTTATAAAGTCAATTTTAATATTTAAAAGTATTTAACATTTTGCTTTCCGAAATGTTTTCTCGTATTACCAAATTCCAATTATGAGAGAAACCAAGTGCCCAAATTCCAGGCACAAAACAATACAAAAAGAATGTAAAGAAATGAAAAAGAAGAAACTAGAATGCTCAAACCAGCTTTATGCAATTCTGCTGTAAGTGTTTCTTCTTCAAAAGAAATCAAGTTGCTTCAAGAAAGATTTTCAAAGAACTTCTCAAAAACTCGATGCGAATCTTTCTTGAAAAGAGTGCTCGAAGTTTGCTTGATTGATTGCTCAAGGATGTGTAAAAGATGATATTCAATGTATGTTAAAAAAGTTCAAGCCAAACTGTTTTAATAAAAGATTTTCAAAACTCGTTGGTTTAATTAATCTGTTAAAAGATTCTTTTAATCTGTTAAAAGTGCAGCTTTAATCTGTTAAAACTTCTTTTAATCCATTAATACGTTCTTGATTCTTTAACAGATTTGTTTTAACTGATACGACAACGTTTATATCAATTAAAACACTTTACAAAAAATCCTCTAAGTTGATTTAATCGATTGTTTCACGATTCAATCGATTGAAATACTGCAAAACTTTCTTGTAAAACTTTTCAAGTTATTTTAACTGATAAAAATAATTTTTAATCGATTAAAACGCTGTGTAGAAATTTTAAGTTGTTTTAATCGATTGAAACAAGATTTAATCGATTAAAACCGCTTCGATCGGTCATAATTGCATTATGATCGATCATCCTGAACTCCTTAAGTGATTTTAATCGATTAAAATCAAGTTGTATCGATTAAAATATTGTCATTTCGCTTGAGCGACAATGGTCTCGCTCGAGCGAAACGCCTATCGCACAAAATTGGCATTCTCGGTTGTATTTCGCTTGAGCGACACTACTCTCGCTCGAGCGAAATACGATTCTGATCGATCATAACTTGAAGTGATCGATTATAATTTAGAGGATATAATAGCGGTTAGGGGTTAACCGCTATCTAAAATGTATTTAAGATAGCGGTTATGGGTTAACCGCTATCTAAATCATATTTTAGATAGCGGTTAAGCTTTAACCGCTATGAGAAGTGTTCTTCGCTCAAGCGAAAATAAAATCGCTCGAGCGAAACGCCCCTGCACAAAATTGGCATTCTCGGGTTGTATTTCGCTTGAGCGACTCTAGTCTCGCTCGAGCGAAATCCAATTCGATCGATTATATTTTCAAAATGATCGATCATATTTGATAATTTTTTCAAATAATTAATTATAATCGATTAGTTTTCTAAATTATTGATTAGAATTGATTAGTTTTTCAAATAATAGATTAGAATGTATTAATTTATGAAATTTATAATTAAAAATATAGATTATTTAAGAATATTAACTATTGTAAAGATAAAGTAGAACATGGGATGAGATGAGGATGATAATATAATGATAGAAGTTACAAAAATGTAGGATTGAGAAGTTTGAAACAAAAAAAATGAAGATAATACTAGTTTTGATATTGATTTTTATTTTAATTATTTAAAACAGAGTAACTATAATTTTAGTTTCTAAATACTCAATTTAAAGAATTAAAGTCATTATTATTTAATCTTTTAATTTTAGTATTAAAAATTTAAATTATATTTTATTAAATTAAAATAATTACAATATAATTTTCTACTTTGAGAATGAACAATATAATTAAGAAGATCAAGTCTAATGTTATTGATGCTAATTTTAACAATAATACAATAATATTATTTTCGAAAACGCCCATATGAATGTGAATATTTTGATTATTATTATATAAAATAATTAAAAGAATAAGGTAAATATTATATAAAATAATTAAAAGAATAAGGTAAATATTATATAAAATAATTAAAAGAATAAGGTAAATAGAAAAGTAAAATGCATGGTTATACCACTTTCCTTTTAATCTATAATTAGTTAGGTATGAATCAAATGTAAAGTCTAATGTTATTGATGCTAATTTTAAGAAGATCACAAAATGTAAATTAAAATAATTAC